GCCACATGGGGGCGGGGGGGTTATCTGGCGTCAGAAAGGGAAGTGCAGATCTTTAACTCAAAAGGTTACTGGTCAACAAATAAATTCGCCACCAAAACAGCCTCCCCTGTAAGGAGAAGCCTTCTGAAGGGTGAAGAATAAATCTGGACCGGGTGGGCTGAAAAGGGCTGGAGCACCGCCGCTGTGGGGCCCTGTCCCAGGCCAGCCGGGGGAACCTCCAGAAAAGGGTTCCAAAAAGCAGTTTAGCTGCTGCCACTCTTTGTTTCACCATGTGAGCAGCTGGGAATGACTTGTCCCCAGGGACAGAAAATGTCACATTTGATGAATGCAGATGTATCCAGAGAGATCATGAAACGTTCCTTTGTCTTTAGGTCAGGAAGGGGATTTTTTTTTTTTTTTCCCCCCACTCCTTTGCTTCACTTGACTTTCACTTGGTTTTTTTTATATCAGAGAAGATGAAAAGAATTAAGGTCCCATCTCTACAGTGCTGTGGGCTCAAAACTTCCCTGGATATCAGCACTTTAGCGGGGATTCCTGCATTCAAGCTGCAGCCCGGGATTAATGCTCTGAATTTGCTTTTGGGGTTAAAAAACCCCAAATCTCTGAATCCAGAACATAGCTGTTCCTGTGCAGAGGGGAATATTGCAGCATCGTGATTCACTGCCATCTTGTGATACTTAGCATTTTCCTAAAAGGATCAACACACAATATCAATTAAAAAAAAAAAACCCAAACAACAAAAAAACACCACAAATCTGTTCCTTGTATCCATAGCTACAGGAAAAAGCTGGAAACTGTGAGTCTGATGGGCACTAAAACTCATATCACAAAGAAATAAAATTAAAACTAGTGACGTTTGTTGCTTTTACATTTTTATCACCATTAAATGCTTCACAATAAACTATATTATTTCACTGAGGCGCATGAAAAAGAAGCTGGAGTTTTCCTTGATTAGATCTCACTTTGTATGATATGAAGACAACGTTTTCAATCTAATTTTTTTTGGCCTTTGCCTTCGGGTGGAACGGCAAAATTAGGACAAGCTCGCTCAGATGAGCTAGTAATTACTATTATTATTCCTTCCATGTACAAGCAGAGTACCTGGGAGCTTTTGTACTAGTTCAGAGAGGAAAAACACAGTGATTAATGCTGCATAATGCACGGGCAAAGTTTAACAGAAAATAGGAATTTTTTTTTTTTTAAAGCCAAAAAATAGGGAGATGTTCCAGCTCTTTACAAATGATAAAAGCAGACTGGACAAAACAGCAGGAAGCAAAAGACCAAAACCATCCTGCCTCTAACAAAGAGGGGTAGCGGGAGTAGGTGTCCTTGCCCAAAGCTAATTTTGATGAGGGATTTGCATACAGATCACCCCTACGTGAAGAGCCCCGGTAGAGCTGAGCTGAGCAGAGCACCGCACCGGTTCTTAGTCATAAGCTACAAAGAGCTCACGCTCGCTTGCAAAAATATCTGTGAGAAACTTCACCATGTGTTTACATTTTTAAAATGGTAGATACTCCACGAAAGCGGTCACTGAAGAGCTTTTAAATTTTTATGCATCCAGAACACCCAAAATCTATGTTTCATCCCAGTATTTTACTATTTTACTGTGTTTACTGTTTTACCGGTGTTTTACTGCTAACTGTGCCAGACGTGACAGGAAGGACCACGCTGACACCAATGGACATGGTGGCTGGGGTTTTATGCTTGACCCCATAAAATTTTCCGTAAACGTGGGGGGAGGACCTGACTCTGGAGGAGTCAGGTGAATCTTGTATCATCCTGCAGGACTGCCATTCCCTACGAAGGAGGGTCAGGGCCAGTTTGGAACATCTGGGAAGGAGAGGAGAGCACCCCAGGTGCTGACAGACCATTCCACCTCTCCGCCAGCATCCTGAGCCTCCATCCTCACCCAGGACATTGGGGACACCCCCCCTCTCAGCCACAGCCACGACACCTGGGTGTGTCCCCTAATTTAGTGCCAGCAGCGATAACTGCCTTCCCCTTCGGTGTCTCTTCTCATTAGATATATGAAATGTGAATTATCACGTGATTTATGAATTCTTTCAGTGCAATAATTTTTGGGGCTTAGCCCTCAATTTCTTCCCCCTCCACTTCCACAGAAAAAAACATGAACACAGATTTAAGAAGCAGCATCAGGTTGAATGGCTTCATTTATAAACCGTCCAAACAAATGGCCTAGAGTAATTGCGCTCACAGTTTTAAACTGTCTTCCTGGACTCCATAAGTGGATTCCTGGAAACCAGCATAATGCTCTTTAATAGAAAAATCAGTTACAATTTAGCAGTGGTGGCTGTTCCCCAAAGCACAGACCAGAACGGGACCCGTGGGTCAGAGCACCAACACCCTTTGTCCTGACCTCCCACAGGCTCAGGCTCTGCAGCGATCTAGGAAGCCTCACCAAGGCAAACAACTTCTTCATGGCAGAGCTCAGTTTCCTTCTGCATAGGTTTTCATAAGAGTTTGCAGCCCACAGGTGCTTTTTGTTATCTGTAGTTTTTTTCTCCTATATTTTATATGGCTCATATTGACTGGCCTACGTGCAGCAAAGATCACGTAGCGCCCAAACCCAATACGAGTGAAACGAGTTTTCCTGAACACAGATATGATTGGGTGCAAATTGGGTGCAAAGAACAGGAATGGAAATGGTGGGAGAGGATTACAACAGAGAGATCAGCTGCTGGAATAGCTACACTGTCACATCTCATCCTGGCTGATGTTACATCTGACACTACAACACAGTCAAGCCAGATCACGTTAGCTCTTCCAAAGACCATCACCAAACCTGTGCTCCAGTTTCCACACAGTAACTCCACAACCTTAGGAACAGCATGGCCAGGGTCAGGTCCAAAATGCAGTACTGGCAATCCCTAGTAGGGAACCGTGGATATAAGCAAGCAGAGAGCCCCAGGCCCCAGCATTAGGTACGAGCTCAGCACTAGGAGGGACCCACAGCTTAAATCTAGTCTCCCACAATGATGGGCAACATGCAGAAAGATCTACAAAACTTGTTCGGTGACCCACGTCTCAGATGAAGGGCTTGATCTGTACCTTGCCCACCTCACAGGCTTCACTGAATATGGAAACACTCCTTCAGAACTCAAAAAGGGAGCTTAGGCAAGTGGCACTTCTGAGGCACCTGTTACTCTTAGAGCCCTCTAACAGAGCACGAATTTGGCTCACGGTAAATACTTTGCTATCACGTTCCTCTGCCTAGCACCTCCTCTAAACTGCAGCTCTCAATCAGTCTTTCTGTGACCTGTCAATCAGTCACAAACAACCCTTTTGGCTTTGGCACAGCCCTGTGAAACTCCAAGAACGAAATGGCTTGAATTACCGTTGTATTGCCAGACACAAATCTCATCCGAGCTAAGATAGAGAGGAGTAAAAGTAAAAGTGTAAAAGGAGATTGCACACACCATTCTCGGCAGGCAGCTGGCCCATGCTGAAGCAGCAGGGCAGTTCTGCCGGTGCAGTTGTCCTAGCAGAGCAGAAGCAAGCTTGCACCACACAGTGAACGTGGTGTTATTTGTTACATTCACAAAAACTGAGTGTACTTTGGAGTGATTTCAGTGGATTTAATGCAATACCTCTGGTCTTTGACTGGCACTCTGGAATCTATAGCATCACTGGCCGGCTCCTTTATCGCATAAAATCCTTTTAACACATTGAAAAAAATATCTCTAATACAAATATTTGCAAACCTTTCAATATTGTTTATTTTATTACAAGAACAGTTTAGGGCACAACAAAAAAAATCATGGCAAAATCAAGTTTTGAATAATTAAGAGACTTTACAAGCCTCAAATCTCAAATAATCTCTCTGCTGATTATTGTTGTGCAACACAGTAATGGCACACTGGTCTTTCACAGCAACGTGTGGTGCTGCACTGTAACTTAGTGCTCCTGCAGAGTATCCCATACAGCAGTAGTGCAGAGACTAAAAAGGTAATATGCTTCCCTATATTGCTTTATTTCTCTCTCATCTCACTGATAGTGTACATTTTAGTCTACTCAAGTTATCTCTAAGTTTGGCAGAGACAAAACCAGCCCCTCTTGCCCTCCCCAATTACTGTATATCCACAGAGATTCTGTTGATTTCAGAAAGGAGAATTAACAAAGCATCAATTAAACTATTAAAAAATTAATACTCTTACGCAGGAAACATACTGACCCCTACAATTAATATATTAATAAACATTTACTCATAACGTTAATTGTATGACTCATAGTGCCTGGATTTTTTATTTAAAAAAACCCCAACCATCCAAAACACAAAGGCCATGGGGCGGGGGTGTCTGAGGCCTTCAGACACATCGAGTTGGCTCTTACTTCAAAGGATGAATCATCAGAATCTGGTTGGTATCAGTAGAATTGGCCTGCACAATAAACGAGGCGAGCTGGCCTTTCCCTGGAGGTGTTTCTGTCTCTTGGCTACAGAAAAATAATGCAGCTCAGCTGCGTGCAAACTTTTTACACTATATAAACCAAGCAAAAAAGTTTTCTGAAGTACCCCCTGGAATCTCGCACATCATAGCCAGCACTCTCTTTCTAGAGTTTCAGTATATATTTCAGTAAGAACAGAGACACATCTGCAGTACTTTCTTTTTACTCCATCCTTCCAATGTTTATAGAGAAGACAAAATCTGCAAGCCTCACCCCTACACACCTATTATTCTGAGCTGTACATCTCATTGCCACAAAGTTATACAGCTCAGAATAAGTGCAGAGCAAGTCTGGAGAATCCCAAATACAATCAAAATCAAATATATTTGATACAGACATCAGAATCTGAAGACAATAAAAAGTCTGGTCACATGAAACTGACTGCCAAGATAAGGTAACCATGTAAAAATTGATACAGATGCATCAGAGTGTTTTAGCCTCAAGTTCTTGGCTAGCCTCTGTTGTACAAAAAGGCTGTCCATTTTTATATCATCTCTAACAGGATCAAAAGCAAAACTTTTGATCAAGTCTTGCAGCTGATGCTTAAAAAGAACATCCTATCTTCAAGCACAGTGAACGGACTAGAGGGGTTCTTGTTTATTTTTAATTATGTGGCTTATTCATTAGAAGGTTAAACTCCTGCTGTATTTTTCTCACGCCACAATTTCACGCCACGGTTGGAGCAACAGCTTGGCTCTCAGGCTGGAGGTTGATCAGGGAATTGCTTGCTTGCGCCAGCTCTGCGATAGATACTCGTCCTCTCTGTTTGATATACTGAGCCACGGCAGCCATCTCCTCTGGAGTGATGTAGATGAACTTTCCTCTGTCATCAATCACACCTACAGGGGGAAAGAAAGGACCCTGAAGTCAGCACTTTGGCTCCTCTAACTTCCCGACAGACATCAGTCACTTCTTTTGGAAGGGACGTTCAAACTGCTGAGGCTGCATTTCATATCTAGGGCAGGCAGAACAACGTGCCAGCAGTCAAGCTTTTATCTCCTCTCTGCTGTTGGGTCTTTGAGCAGGGCTATGACAATAGCCGAGTGCCTTGGTAAGCCTAATTTTGTTCAGCAAAGTAACACATTCCTTTCATCGTATGCAGCTAGCTGGTAGTACCACGGCAGCTACTTCAACTATGTAATTTTGGTGCTGATGTTCTGGGCCCAGACAGCTGGTGGAGAAAGGCAGAGTAGCAGGAGGGCCCAGGAGGTGATTCAGAGAGCCTATGGGGCCCAGCTCAGCCATTCCAACTTACCTTCTAAAAGGGAATGAAGCTGAATTTCCATATTCCAGTTGCTCCATCAAGAGCAAGGCTAAACCTCTCTGTTCTTAACACATTGCAGGATCAAATGCATAGCAGAGAGCCTCACTGGCACGCCTTTTAGGCCACGGAAACAGCCAGGACAGCACACATCTTTACACTTTGTTTCAGACCACTTTTAGGTCACTCAAATGGGTATCCACATGTACCCACCGAGACAGTTGTTTCCCAGCCATGACCACAGTATCAGGTCAGTAACCGTTCGCATTGGCACCTTCTCCTACTTCGTCCTTGGAAAAAAAAAAAAAAATGCCCAGCAATAAAACAGACTTGCTCAGACAGGGAGCTACCCATGTGCTCAGTCTCTGCTACATTCCAACTTCGATTGCGTGGGTACATGGCTAGGAACAAGCACTTCACTTACTACAGATTCCTGGAGCGCTCTGGGATGTTTGCTTCTCCCACAGCATGCCGTACCCTGGTACTGGCTCTAGCCACAGCACCTTTGAAACAGGCTTGCAAACTACCTCAAAACATTCTAATGATTCTTTTGAATTCAGACTTCAGAAGACATCATTTGCAGCTGGCTGCTCAGCAACCCCTAAAGGCTTTCAGCAGAGCTCAGTCAACACAGAACTTTGAGCTGGTTCCTGAACTCTTGGGGACATTCACCCCCCACCTCTGTATAACGTATCATAGCAGCAATCACATCCCACAGTGCTTTAAACAGTAGTTTCATGGCAGCTGAAGCAGGGATAATAAAAATATCTATTTATCAAGTCCTACGAGGATCTTCTACGGTTTAAAACAGAAATGACACTTAAGTCTCTCCCTACCATAGTTAAGGCATTTCCTGCACCACCTATTCACCAGCTAAAATAAAGTCCCCTTTGTGTTTTGGCTGTCACCTGTTAGAGTGCCATCTGCCATCAGGTCCTGGATTCTGTTAATTGCATCCTGTTCAGAAGGGAAAAAGGAATAACAAAGAAACTGATCAAGAGGAAGGCAAGAAACATTTCACTTGTTCATATAAACTACAGGTGGAGGCTTACATTTAATTCCCCAGTGTTAAAAGATTTCAGTGAAGGAGTATCAGTACTTCCACACAGATGCAGTAAGCCCTTTGATCTTAGAAGGATGAAGTGAGCTTCTGCATTTTGGGGTGTTCAAATAATTTCCCTATCCCCAAAAGAGACTTTAACTGCTGCATTTGCCGCCAGTTTTATGGAAGGGGGGTTGTTATACACATCCTCCCAGGGAAAGGCTGTGTAGTGCCAACGCAACGCACAAGTTCTATGAAGTATACTGAGGTACTTCTCCAAGAACCTGGCTACAGTCAATACGTTCCAGAGGCTTTTATATTTTTTTCATGCTACATTTAAGAGGAAATCTCTTTTACCAATCCAGAGAACAACTTGTTGAATTTGTTGCTGGGTTGACTCTATAGTTACTCCAAGCATGCGGTTCCAGTACACCTGAAGCTAGTATCTTAACTTTGGTTTCCACAGTTCTGCCTCTCTCCCTTTCTTGTATTTATGTGACTGCAAAAGCAAATTATAGTTTATATTTCAACCAGATAAATTTCCTTAACTGACTCACTGCATGCTTACATGAAGTTCTGGTTTAAGAGAGGGGCAGGGGCACAGCAGCCTGCACTTACAGCAGTGTAACCTGCTGTGAAGGGGCATCAGATTAGGTACAGAACAACAGAAAACAATGGTCACTTAAAAATATATGTCAAATGTGCTCAAATTAAAATAAACCAGGCCATGACTATTCTTCAACCTCAAAACATAAAGTGTTTAGAGAATAGAAAAAAGACAGAAGCGGGGAGGAAAAAAAAAGGACAAATATCACACCATGAGTTCACTTTCACAGGCTTATATAGTGCTGAGAGGGACAATTTTCTTAAGTACTGCCCTGGAAGACACAAATTCTTAAATGTTCTAAGAACACATAAGCAACCGGAGCAAAACACCTCGTCTATTGATTGTCTGCAAACATAACATTGTCCAATTATGTAGGCAGTGTCTGAATTTTCTTCAAGCTCTGTTTTTGATTCCCAAGTACCCTGAATTGCTCTATTACCAGATTTGCAAACACTATAGGATCCATTAGCCAACAGGCAGCTGTGCAAGAGGCAGACTGAGCACTTTTCACTGAAACAATCTTGTATGCCAACAATCCTTCGCTGGCTGGCTGGTACTTGGATGAATGGCCACAATTTTAGGGTTGACTTTGCTGATTTTCATCAAAATCCAAGCATTTTCAGTAATGCTGAGACACTTGCATAGATGTTACCCTTATTTACCCGCTTTATCTCCTGTCCTTTTAAACTCATTGCTTGTACTTGCACCCCAAATGGTCTTAGAAGGATAAGTACTAAGAAGGATAAGGTAAGTACTAACACAGATTAGTACTTACCTGTGTTCTTAAACCCAAATGTGAAGCCAAGTCCTCCAGCTGGATTACCTTTGTTTTCTATGGAAACAAACAGAAATTAAATGCAGCTAATGAATTAGAAGGTTAGCGTAATTCTTCTCCTTTCAAATAAAAAAATGCATTTAATAGACTAAGTAGAACTTGTCATTCTGACTAACTTTTCCTACTAAGCACTCTTCTCTGACCAAAAATTCTACCGTAAGTTACTTAAACCAGTCTGCTCTGTGGAAAGACTGAATGCTCTGACCCACTTAAGCGAAGACTCAAATACATTTGCCAGCATTCATCCTGAACCTTTTCTTACCTTAGGAGGACAGGATGAGCACAATAAACAGCCATGGCTCAGTTTTCACTGTCACCTGAGTTTCTCAAGTGCTACCTTTAATGTCCAGTATGCTTTTGCAAGATCCCTTTTTGTTTGAGAGATGTTTCAAAGTGCACTTTAAAATGATTACTGGTATTTATCAGCGCATACCTAAAAATCCAGACAAGACTGGCAGCATTAAGTGCTTTAGTCTGTTTTACTAATGTCTTGTGTATTAATGCCATAATAATCTTCCTAAGCAAGTGAACACCTTATTAAAATTGTCAGTGTTGGGAGCGTACTGCTAGCGCACTCCTGCACAGGCAGCACAATGATGTCTGAAAGCAGAAGCAGGAACTGCAAATTTTTTCATTTTGCTTTTGACAGAGATTCTTACTGCAGCCTTTCTCAGTCAGGACACAGTCACCACTGCTCACATCTGGTTTTATGCTTCTCTGTAGCTCCAGAGAATTACAGAGAAAACACCTGGTGCACTTGTCTGGAGCTACTTGGTTCCTGTTTTCTTATCTGCAAAAGTTTTAGAAACTCATCTCGTTAGATGCAGTAAGAGGATGCACTGTTTGTAAGGAGCTTGGAAAATATAAAACTTTTGAAAACATTCTGGACTACATTCTTAAGAGCCATATATGTACAGTCACAAAAGCTACATTTACATTATCAGATGCAATACTTCAAATGATAAATGCATTTGTTTCTGATCTTGAGAGTACACTGGAAGGACACTGAAGAAATAAAGACAGGCTGAAACAGATTAATCATTTTCATTAATAAAATCAGACACAAAAAGCCACACACAGACTTAGTAGTTGTGAAGTTTGATGCAGCCAAGCTAGAGAACTGAATACCATGGACTGAACGCATGGAATTGGAACCAGTCCATGGAATTCAGTTCTCAGAGCTGGGAACTGCCAAGATTCGTCACATCTTCTTTTAAAAGCATGGGGGGGGCATGTGCGCAAAGCCACATAAACAAGAAAAACACGATTTAAACCTTCACTTAAAGATATTCAGCCTCAATTAACACATTAACATGAAGCTTTTCAAGATAGATCCTGCTGTGAATAAGATCCTAGAGGGTGGGGTGGAATTAGGATGTGCTTCCCACACACTCTGAAATATAATGACATTGTGAGGTCCCAAGCCAGTAAAACACTTCACCACATGCTTCACGGTTTAGAGACAGGCTTAACTTTCATAGAGCAACATATATACATCTACACTTTACTGAATTAATTTAATTTTAGGTATGACTCTGCTGCTGTCCTCAGCAAGGGATGAAACAGAGCAAGAACTCCCAGTATTAAGATGAGTAGGATTTTTTTTCGTTATCTTGTAAGCATCGTTCTTCTTAAAGAAAAAATAGGAAGGGGTAAAGCCTCCAAGTCCTTTGCTATCCCTTTCAAATGTAGTTTGCTGGTTTAATTCACTGGCTGTAATTAAGATGCATTCAATGATATACTGTCAAGGTAGGTGAGAACAGTGTGATGGACAGCCTCATATTTCCCTGGGCCAACAGAGCTCGTGCTCCACAGCAAGGGAACTGCTCAGCCACTCGCTAACCTCTGCCCACTTCATTATTAACTTTTTTCTGAAGTGCTCAGAGAGCCCAGAGAGTTTTGTTTTGTTTGTAAGGTGTGTTGGGCAGCTACAGCACTGCTAAGTAAAACCATAAGGCTCCCATTAAGAATTGGTTATTCCGCTCCTCTGAGAGCAGAGCAGTCAAGTCTGTAACTTGAGGACTGGCCACCGTAAGAAGCAAACACAAAGGATGGCAACTGCAGCAGAAACAATGCCACAGCCTGAGGTGTAAAGTGGCAACATTGCAGCAGATGGGTTAAACTGGTTGTGGGGCTGCTATGAAACTCCCAAAGGAAGGGGGATGCTCAGCTTTCAGAAAAGCAGAATTGAGGGGCATCAATCCTTTTGGTGCCTTAAAGAAAAATCCCATTTAAAATCCCACAAGTCAGAGCCGGAGAAGAGGCTGCACTTCATTTCAAACACCCTTCGGAATGAAGCATGGGGTGAGCTACCTCCAGCCCGTTATACCAGTAAAATACGTTATTCAACAGAAGAGCTAAATTAATTTTTTTTTAAATGCCAATTGCTCTTTTAATCTCTACATTTTTCAGACAGCTACTAGCAGCTTAGCACTGCTTCTTGATATAAGTCAACAGTTTCTGTGAATAGAAGATGAGGGCAATATATAATCTATATATTAAGCATACTTTCAAGATTAAAAAAAATACTAAAACTTGTAAAAGAAAGCAATGCCCCAGTTCTGCAACTCATCTCTACATAGGAAATCAGGTGTTGAAGCAATTCTGAATTAGGTTTTCAGCCTGTGCTTAATTTCTCTGACGTCAAGTAGAAGTGACTAATATAAAACTATACATATGTGCTTAAACACTGAACTGAGAGTTTGTGACTAATCTGTTCCATCCATCACAACCACCAGGGCAACGTGCAGAATCAGACCCTACTGCATTATCCCTTGGAAACCCTCCCAATTTTAGTGGAAGATCCCAAAGGACATTGAAATATCCTACTGTTCTACCTACTGTTATTCTAGGGCAGCTTGTTTATCAAAAAAGAACAGTATTTTCCTTAATCCACAGCTTGGCAGTATCTTGAAAGCCTTAGATGGGAATGCATGAACTGGGATCACACCATGCCATGTAGTCCATTTCCACAGTTAGTAATTGAAACAGAGGGTGGTCTTAACAGACATGGCCATTTCAAATTTCCCCTCCCTTTCAAAGAAATCTCTCCGACTTCTGTGGAAAACAGAATATTGAAATAGCTGCAAAATGAAATGTGCCATCTGAAGGCTCACCGTCAGTCCATGGTTTTACTTAGGCTCTTTAAACATGTTATGCATGGCTTTTCCAATCTCTTCTCAGCTGTCTCGTCCACTTTTGGCGGGACTTCTGATCAAAGTTGACTGGCTTATGCTGGGGACTTGGTTACTGAACAGGGGCTATTTTCATTTGGGTTGCAGCAACGAAGGTGAGTCCTAACTCTGAATGCTACTAGCTTAGATATTTCCACATATACCCTGAGATCGCATTGATCAGAAAGCACTTGACGGATGCAAACCTAGCAGCCTCTCTCTGTGGACTGATGGCAATGGGATACACCACCAAAGGTGCCAGGGACTCAGGAGAGAGAGAGCAGCATAGCAAAAGATGCTCGCATGGTAGCTTTGCAGGGACCCTACAACGATCGAGCCATTGTTCAGACTTGCAAGGCAATAACTCACATTAACTTCTTGAGCAGAGTTACCTATGAGACAAAACTGCTTGTAACTCTGGGTTTTTGCTGGGGTAATGGACATGCAAAACTGGCCCAGAGTGTGAGATTCTGGATTAACAAAATGATTAGGACTTCACTAAGTATACAAGTGATTTGCTTACTGATGAAGCCTTTCACACACATGCCATACATTGTCAGATAAGAGTCCAGTTTCCAGTAAAGGAAGAAAGGGATTCATTAGGATAAAAGATTTGCCTAACATTGTTAGAGTAAGAGTAGGAAAATGCATTTGACCTTTGATATACCAATAGTGGAGACAGAAGCATTTGTCCTTACAGATCAAAAGTGGAAATACTCACGAATACACCATAGGTTTTAAATAACCAACCATACAATATGACGAAAGGGAGACTAACAAGCGATCTTTTCCTTAAATATCCCTTTCAAACATTAAGACAACATTGCAAATTGCATGGATAAAAACAAGAAAAGAAATCACATGAAAAGCTGGATTGACCTTTATAATGCCAGTGTTTCAGACACAAACACATCCTACAGGGCAGGCCACACGCTGGTACAGCAATTCTCATTCATGCTGAGCTGAGACATAGAGATTGTTTTCTAAATCAGTCGCTCATGTTCATAAACAAAAAGCCTGAATGTCCCAAGTCCCAATCAACAGCAAACATTGCTGTTCATAAACTCTGAGGGTGATCCACAAGGTGCAGAGTTTATAAAGCTTATCCCTATGAAAGAGGATAAGAGCTACAATCCTGCCCCAAAAAGCCAAGACAGTTATAATTGCAAACCATTTTAACAATGATGGACATGCTCATGCATGGTTAAGTAAATAATGCAGACTACATCTAAGGTATCACTTTTGTTACTTGTCAAATGCTTAAGTAAATAAAGAGGAAGTGAAGATTTCCCTTCTTTCTGCAACTCAGCTCTCTGACAAAGGTATTTTACACAATCTAACAAGTATGGAAGGAGAAGAAAGACCAGTGGTGGCTTACCTTAACGTATTCAAGAAATTCCATTAGAAAGCTGCGAGACTGGATACAGCAAGGAAAACAATTGTTATTTTAAACTCATGAACATTAAATGCATTGCAAACTTGCTGACTACAAATATTACAGAAGTGGTTAGCTTGCATACTTCTGAAGTTTTAAACACACACACCGAGGGAGATTTTTGAACTGGAAAAAAAAAAGTACAGATTTAATCTTAACTAGGAATTTAAGATAGGTATTTTCTAAGACAGGATACGGCTCTAGTACAATTTGTGTTTAAGTGTGTCATGGTTTGGGCCAGACTGGCCCCCTCAAACCAGGACATTGTGTTTTCTGAAAGGAAGTCTTTGACTTTTTTATTCTTCACATCATACATACCCTGCAATAACCACATCTGTGTGCGTTTGTGCATTGTGTATTAAGTTACATATACACACACCGAGGACATTTTGTACAGAGATAAAGTACAGAGTGATTCAGGAGAGACCTCATGCAGATGGTCAAGTGTAGCACACAGCTGTGCAACACATGTGGAAGCTCAAGCTGTTTTCAAAGCTATGCACCTGTAATCCAGCATTTCAATATAAGCGGCTCAATTTTCAAAGGCAATGCAAACAATGTGCATTTAAGTTAACAGGAGATCAAGTTACTCTGCAACCCTGGAAATCAATCAACCTTAATTAACTGCTCAGGTCTGGTCTCAGGACCTTAATTTTCAGCATGAGTTTCAGCACGCTAGCCTGAACAACACAAGGCGCACAGTCAGCTATTGTAAAGGATACTAAAATGCTTCAGTACATTATCCACCAAAAGGCAGAAGGGTGGCTTGCCATTTCTGCAAGGCTGGTGTCTCCAAATATCTAAATACCTGCGATGGCTTCTGAAGATGACTTTCAAATCGCCTACTATTAAAGTACTATCTCCCCGTCCCTACCACGTTATCTTATGTTGAGATCCAGGCATCATTAACTGCCTGCCAGGCTCTTTTGAGTGAGGAACACCCTTCTCTGTTCCCACATATAGAAAGATTAATATCTCCTTGAGAGGCAACTGTAGGAACACAGACAACCAACACATTCTAACTTTAAAGGGAGCCTAAAGTAGAACAATTTAATATTTTAGCTATGATCTGATCTTCTAACAAGATAGGCACACATTTTTGAAGGCGCTTGCAACAGAAAGTATGCATTTCACTGTTCTCTGCATCTCAGGAAATTCCCTACCACCAGATACAACTTCTCTTGGTATCAATCCCAGCATGATGGAGGAATTTCTCTTAAAGGAAAGGGGTTCATAGTGAGAATTTGTGACTAATGTCAAGCAATATTAACTCATTACAAGGTCCTCAGCCTAAAGCCACTCTCAGTCATGCTAAGGGCAAATCCATTCAATTCAACAGGGCTGCTTTAGCAGAGGAGCAAAGGCACACATGGCCCTGAAAAAAACAGACTTATGAAACGCACTGGACAGCTCAAATTTGGCAGCTACAACCCAACAGCAATTTCAGCATTTGATAGCAATTAAAATTAGTCTAACAGGTTTTCGGCAGACAGAACAAGAACACTGCCTCCCACAACAGTGGAACTTTTTCAAGTTTGCTGTGATATTATGTCAAGTATCACATTTCAACCACCATCCCCAGCAGCGCATCTGCAGGCAGCCACAGGAGGAGCGTGCTAGAATGTTATGCAGAGTTTGAAATATGATGAACCACAGCAATCATTTGCAACATTGAACGCAGAGCTTTCCAGCGTACAACCCACAAGCACCTAGGTAGTATCCTATGAATTCTCTTAAAACGATGACTTTTAAGACAAGAGCTTGTTTTTCATTTGATTTCACAGCAACTCCATTGGTCTAGAAAATAAAACCAAACCCAAGCAATTCCTCCCAGGATATGTGGGCATTACCAAATTCTGTATTTAGCCTTGCTTTCATCTGACCTACTGTATATAGGCAGGGCAGACCTGATGATGGTAAAAGAGTATTTGACTTCCAGAATGAGTTTTATTTCAGTCCTTACATTAAGGGAGGAGTGAACTCATTTCCAGTGATATGCATTTGCCTTCGTACTCTAGACTAATTTTTAGGAGTCTGGAACTAGGGCCTGCAGCATTCCCCAGGAAATATTCCAGGTTAACATGTGCCATATACATAATTTAGTTTTTACAGGCAAAAACATTTGGCAGACTCCTACTTTCACGTTCATTTTACATGAGACAGAATGCAGTAAGGACAACCTGAGTCTAACAAAGATAAAGGAAACTACAGTAACAGCCTAACATACATACCTCTTCCTCTGTCATTGATTCTTCAACCCCTTCCTCTTCAACTACAAAACTTTCCTTCAGCTTCAAGTACTCTTCATACTCCCTCTTCTCCTCTTCTTCCTTGGCCTTCCTTTTTTCCTCTTCCTGGACAGAAAAGATGACAAGTGGTCAGTTTGCTCCTCCCAAAATCAGGTTTAGTTTTAAGTAAAGTGGCATCTTCTTTATCTGCAGTCTGGTTTTACTTGGACAGACAGCAGATAAAAAGTTTCTAAAATGAGTCTAAGTTCTCAAATGATGGCATCATTGATTTCACAAGCCACCCTTAAGGTAATAACCATCTCACATGGTAGTGTAAGCTTGCATGCAATACACCTAGGCTGGCTCTTAACACATCTGACACAGGGGAGAAAAACCACTCTTATATAGAACCTGCTTTCTTAATTTGCATGAATATGTTTCTTCTGCAGATCCCATGACAGGAAGTCCCTGCCCCTAACTGTACTTTGATGCAACATCCACATTTTCATTAACTGGCCCCAATTCTGCTCTGATGTGCAGTAGTGTACATTAGGAATGATCACAAAGAATGGTGGAGTTGCACTGGCGTCCATCTGTGTGTGACAAACAGCTGTAAAAGGTTCAAGTAAAATCTCTTTCTTATGACATACGAGCAAACTATGTCTACATGAAATATAAAGAACTGTATCAAGTATTTTAGAAATAGAAGACAAGGTATGATTATGTTAAAAAAAAGAAAGGTTTTTTTACACGTTTGTTAACCAAAACCTACAGGCTCTGCTTTTAGTTATTTGCAATAAAAATACTTTCAGTTACCTACCCTGAAAGAAATGTTAGTGTCTTAAAAAAAAAAAAAATGCTGACCCAGATTACTCAAAAAATGCTTCAAATAAGAAAAGGTTTTCACTGGGAGCTCATAAATTTGCAGCTTTCCATGATTTTCTTTTAAAATTTGTTTTGTTCTTCTCCAAAGCTTCACACGGAAGAAAAATATTTCCTTACACAATGGTTTCTTCCACAGAGAAATTTATGTTTGTACAGCACGTGGTACAGTGAGATTCCAATCTGACTGGCCTCTGGTTGCTATCACATTGCAAAGACTTGATTAAAACTTAGAAAGATGAGTTCTTCAAATTTCAAGGACAATCTCTGGGCATTCCTTTACTATTAACAAAGAATTGATCTCTTAAAGAATAATTATATTGGTTTCTAAACGCTTGCCATGCTTCATCTTTGACACGAATATGGTAATTGCTTCCTTAAATGGCTGGAAAGCAAACACTTGTTCCATTAAAACAGGAAAAGACAGGAATAGGTAATTAAGTATATTGAAAAATGTCTATATTAAAAAAGATGCCATGTACCAGAAACAGGGATGGGAGGGTTGCCCTTCAATAAAAACTGAAGAAAAAGTGTATTTGGTCCCAATTGTGTTTAATCAAACTCCCAGAAAGTCATAAGAAGGGATGCTATCAACATACAAGTATGAGAAAAACAGGAATGAAATGATCTTACTGTATGTGCAAAGTCAAAACCATTTTTTTAGCCACTACCTTATGAAAAAACTACAGATCTGAGGAAGCTCTTGAGACAAAACAAGACTATTTTATGGGTCATTCATCACTGTAATAATTATTAGCAAAAACCCAACAGTAGATTTCTTCCTTATAAGCACTACAGGTGCCAAGAACAACATAATCATATTTCATTTGGAAGTGACAGCAATTGTTCTTTTATTGTAAGTGCATTAAATTTAAACTTGATCCTGGAAACACAAGAATAAGGTTCTTCCCCTGGTCTATTACAGAGGTTGTAATTCACCAGGATTTGAAATGAAGAAAAAACCCCACAATCACAAAACCTGAAAATTGCTTAGGCAAATTTCTAGATGGTTCTACAAAAAAAAAAATAATCAGAAGACAGTGTCCCATTTACAACTGAGCGCAACAATAACTAAGAAGTATTTTCCTGTTTCTGGAAAGTCTAACAACAAATGAACTAGACTTATTCCTGTCTTCCTTATCTACTTGGAGAACAGTACCTTCAATTTTATTAAAGCATACCAGCATGTTACTATCGGTACTTCCATTTCCAACACTTGCAGAAGAGCACCTCTCCTATGAGACTGGCAAAGCATTCAGCTACCAATCCCTCCTTTGCAGTCTCCTTAAAAGGCAACATGAGTTTGTTTTCCAGATCCTAAATTTTGATGTTACGATTGGCAGAGCATTTCCAGGTGGTCTGAGCCACTGATTCGGTAGCTAAAGCATGTCAGCCCTCAAAGCTGCATGTTTCCGGGTGGTTGTAGCCTCCTCCATAACACTAAGTATTTCCAAAAGCTTTTTAATCTAATAACTAAAAATCCCAGCCACTTCCTGCAGTCTCACATGCTTTACTATCTAAACTCACCTGTGATTCAATCTGTAGAAAAAGAAGGATTTAGCCAAACTGTAAACTAGTTCAAAGCCAAGGGGAGACATGATTTTGCATAACTGCACTGGGAGAAGCAACCAGCAACAGCTGTGGAAGCTGAGCAGGGGGAACTGTAGCAAAGTCAGGTTGTCTGTTAACACTTATTCTCAGCTATTTTTTTCACCATCGTGCTAGCACTCTTCTTTCACATGCCCAAGTCATGCAGCAGTTGCATGGTAGGTGCAGGGTCAAATTTAGGCAGGTTGCATTCCCCAAAAAACCAGTCTGTCTGTATGCATAACCCACACACGGAAACACTCTCAGCACCCCAGGGTCTACTAATGAAAGAGACCAGTACTTGCTTTATGCAAGTCATACAGGGGGCACTCAGCTCAAATATAAATTTTAAAAACCCCACATCTTTGTCAGTCAGGTTTTTTTGCCTCTCCTCTCATTCTGATCTCATTAACTGTTGTGGAGTTAAGTGGTAAAGCATGTGGCTCAGAGGAGAGATAATAGCTGGGCCACCTCCCTTACACGATGGGTGGGGTGGTGGGGAAATCCCAGCATCATGGAAATTTGGTAACTGCAGATGCTCACCTTCAGCTGCTTGCCCTTTTTTTTTTTTTTTTAAGCAGGTTTGCTTCTCTCCTCAGCCACCTAGATGTTACCCAAACTGGGGGCTCGCTACAGTGTAAAGATTTCTTTTTGATCCATTTACTACATGCATGTGAAACACAAACTCCCCCACTCTGATCACGTCTTTAACAGGAAAAAATACCAACCAACCAAAACAAGACCAACTTAATCACTCAAACCTTTCTTCCTTCTCTACTTTTTCTGACAAAATGTCCACATTATTACTGCTGGATTGACTGTACCTCTGCATGCTTGCCACCTTGCATAGCAGACACTCAAGAGCTTCCAGAACTTCATGCAGTCTGTGGATCTCCAGCACTCTGTGAGACACCTTCCAACACCCTTAACCCTTTCTATACCAGACCTGGTCAGCACTGACCTCCCACCACAGCCAGTCCCAGTCCTTCAGGGGACTGCTCTTCAGGCTCTCTCCGTCCCACCTGCCCACTGAGGACCTGCATTTGCTGTGTGGCTCCTTTCATATCATTACCTTCTGTTTGCCTTGATTACCTTGATCACAATGATTATTTCCATGACATCAAAAACATTAATTGTGCTAACTGCACAAGAGACCAATCTTTTACCGGGTGAAACCCATAGCGACTTGAAAACTCTTTTAGACTTACAGCTGGAAGCAGACCTTGACTCTTGGGATCACAAATCCCTCTGGAGTCCTGGGGTGCTGCTTGAATAACTGCACTGTTCTGGCTGGTTGACAGATTACAGCCTTCGAAGGTTTATCATGCACCACTATTTTTAGCAAAGGCTGAGGACCCTTACAATATTTTCCAACAAGTAGATACTGAAAAACTGTTTCTAGCTTTCAATGGAGTAACCCATTTAAGGTGACACTGACACTAAGTGATATTGGCCTATAGAGTAAGTAGCTTTTCTGAGAGCTTTGCCTAAGCAGCTTTCCCTGAGAGGAAACTGCTAGTTGTGTGCTGTGCCCACTCTCCTCCAAATCAGATAAAGAACCAACTTGCTGACAAACAAATCATTTATAGGCAGCTTATTCGACTGCTAAGTGGAAGAGATCTCATTGCTAGTGAGGAAGGTAGACCAAACGCTGGTCTCTCTTCAACCACTACCTGCTACCAGTCATCCCTGGTTTGTGGCTGTTTCCTAACATGCAGACTGAGGAAAAGCATACTGGTTCCTATGCCAAATGCTTTGAGGTTCAGGGACCAAAGAAACCCTCTTTGTAGAACATCCAGTTTTCACGCTGTTAGTGCAGGTTCTGCAGGAATCGAAAAGGGACTTCAGAGTAAATAATCTGGCATAGAGCAGATGGGTCTCTAGGATTCCTCCCCACCCCTGCACTGCTTAGACCCAAAATAAAAAAAATACCTTCAGAAAGACAGAATAAGTGTTCTTACCAGTCCTCATCCCATCAAAATCAGAGTAGAATGAGTTCTCTGCAAGCTTTTCAACTTGTACTTTCTGAGGAGAAATTAATTTTCAGGAAAGTATACACGTTTGAAAGCTGATGCTTAAACTGAAACTACATAGTAGTCTCCATCAGCCTCCAGAAATGCACTGTTTATGTATGAATAGTAGCTATAAATGCCAAACAGATAATAGAAAGCTCTGCTAAGAAAAACTCAAATCTCGCTGTTCACGTAACGCTACACATAATAAAATAACTCAACAATCAACATTCTAAAACCGGATGCCTATTCTTACATGATCAAATATCAAATCAAAGAGCCAAAACCTTAGGGTCTTAGTTCTCAAAAGCTTCAACAGGACCCTTGGGATCACTAGCTGATCCTCTATTTCTATAGCTCTTCAGATCCAGACCATTTTTATTTAGGTACTTAAAACACAAAACTGAAAGCCTAATGCAACTGCCCTAGTTTGGAAACTGGGCACAGCTGTGCTTGAGCAATACAGATTTCATTTTAATGTAACAGTGAACAAGCACCAGTGCTCGCTCCTGCTGTGGCCTTTTATTTCACAACAGTTAAAAGCTTGCTCCCTGGAAGAATGGTAGTTTGTCTACTGTATCAAGCTATGTTTCCAAAGCAGTCCACTCTGCAATGGATTTGCAGGCAACATACCCTGTTCAACACTGTATTTTAGTATAGAAGAGCGACAGCTGTGAGCCCTGCATCTGCACAAGCACTTTCCTTAGCATGGCAAAGCTCGGCTGAGGGAGTAAATTCTACAAAAATCCCTGTGCACAGAGAGGGGAAAAAAAAAAAAAAAAAAAAAGGTCTTGTGCGAGCAATCTGCAAGGCTTTGTATGAAGACACTGTTTTGCAACATCAGAGGAAGTTCGCTCTCATTGATAAGGTGGCAGTTGGTAAACCATCTCACCACTAAAAAACTCCAAGAGTGAAAGGGAAATCCCCAGGGTAAAGCAGAGCTGAAGCAAATGCCAATTATAAAGGAGCTTCCTCACATGCATAGCCAATCAGGTCATCAGAACACTGGAAAGGAAACTTGAATTTAAAAATATATTATCTAGTTTGCAACACTGGAACCAAAGGGCAACCACATTTTATTTATATGTGCATACAAATACATTTAAATAGAACCAGGGGGTTATTTTTCTCAAGAATATGCAAGATTTTAGCCCCCGTAACTCCCTTGAAGGAACAGTTCCCACTTGTAGTACAGCAGTGTGTAGAGTTGCCCAAAAACTAATTGGAGAGACATATCAGTTTGCCTTTAAAACAACATGGGCTTTCATCTGACCCAAGAATTCATTATTTCCACTAGACTCCGACTCTCAAACTACTTCAGTGGGGGGTATGTGAAAGGGGTAACAGTCCTGATGACTTTATCAAAGATCAACACTGGGGAATTTCTAGAAGATCTGCATGCTGCAACATGATTTTATATCCTCCTGATCTATTTGACTTCCCTCATCACCTGACAAACTTTTAGATAGTATTGAATGGCGCAGGAATCGCCCATTGTTGTTGACCAGGATTCAGCTATTAGTTTAAGGCTGTAGCTGAAATGCTGAAAGGAAATTCTGCTTTACACAAAGCCAATCTCAATGTTCACAGAAGTCCACACAATTTTGGTAGCACTTCTTGGGAGAGATATTGAAAAAAAGGTTAAACTGAAATTTAGCTAAGAAAGCCAGCTGTGCTTGTTTGAAGAGTTGCCACTGTTACTATACCTGCAGAAATACTATGATGTACCAGAAAAAGAAGGGGGGGGAGGGGGGGGAAAATCAAGCTATCTGACAACTGTAATATTCCTCAGACAAATTTTAGTGATGAACTAAATTTCTTGTGTGGGATTATATAAACTACAGAAGCATCAATGATCAAACTGGCTCCAAAAAGCTACCAGCTACCCTCTGGTTTTTTTATCTCATGACTATCAATCACTACTTGAGCTACATTTCATAATTTTGCCTTTCCATCTCCTAACTTATATGGGGGAATACTACTATCACACATGTAGTCCTCAATTCCTTACTTGTGACAAAACGTTACTTGTGGAAATGAAGAATCCTTTCTCTAGAGTAACATATAAAAGACATTTTTTCCTATGTATTCTATAAAAACATAATAAATCAAATGATCCCTTTATCCCTTATTGGGAGCTAGAAAAGACAGTCAGTATCTTTTACATCACAGAATCAGTCTGTAACAAGATTTGAAAGATAAGATGTTATGATCATAAAGACAGGCTATGCTTACATGCACAGTAATCAAGTATCTATTCATCCAGTTTGTTCCCCCTCCTATCACCCAGTCAAAACTAAAACAGTCTTGTTATTATCATGCTCCCTGTAATACTGCTTTCTTTGCTGACTAAAGCAGGAACTCAAGCAACACAGCCTAAACATGTACAAGTCTCGAATTGTTCTGTTTCCTGTTAAAGTCTCAGATGAAGACAGGGACTTAAAAACCACTTGAGGATGTATATTAAATATTATCAGATACGTTTACTTCAATCCACACTCAAAATGGTCAGCGGTTACTGGATTATCAACCTGTCTCAGACTCAAGAAAAAAATAAAATATTGAAAACACTTTTGCCTGAGTAGCAGAATAATGTTTGTGATGTAGCCTGATGGGTTGGCTTCCTGCCCTGCTAAAGACTATGGGGAAAACAAACAAACCAAACAAAAAAAAGGTTAAAATTACAGAATTTAAGTAGCCAAGGAAGTTATTGCCTAAAGTGAACAGCAAGCTAGATTCAGGCATCTGAGAAATTTTCAAAATTCTAGTAAGTCCTCTGGACTGTTGAGAACAAAATTTAAAAAATAAAATAGAACCTCTGAAGCCTCAGTTCACACTCTTCTTTTTCACTGAGCCTTGTGAAATGCAGGTGGAAGTGTTTTAGTGCAATCTGTACTAGGAATACTAAAAAGTAAACTAGAAACAAATAAGATTTTTCTCACTCAACACAAATAAATTACTCAGCCCTAAATTGAACAGACATGGATTTAAAAAAAAAGTTAAATATGTTAATAAGCACTTTCTGTGTGAAGAAACCTCTAGTTAGAATTTCACCCTTACTTTCTACTCAACTTTTCAACCGTGCCTGACTGGTCCTGATTAGCTAGCTGTACTGCTAACCCCAGTCAAACCTGTAGGCAATCTAAGATCTTTGTCCTGGGCTACAGCTTCTTTTGAGCAGGTTGGCCAAGCTCAACTGCAATTTGCTTAGCAATTCACCTGCCATGCTGGCACCACTCTGCAAGGAATTAAAATTCTGTTCATTAGCCTCCTCTAAAGGAAGTAACATTTAAACAATGCTAGGACCCAGCCAGTGTGATCTCCTAATTCCCCCCAGACTAATGGAGCCATTTGATTCAACCAACTCTTCAGGGTTTCAAGTATATTGAATTCCCAGAATCTTAGGAAAAAAAAATATTAGGGAACTGAGTGGAGAGAAAACACTTAAAAGAATATTCCACCGGAGGGAAACTGCCATCTCTCTGTTATGCCAAGTTCCATACAAGCAGGATGGGCAATAGATATGTGCTTTAGAGGCAGCCAGAGCTCATCTTACCTCTTTCTGAGCTGCAAGTTTGAGGGGGAGAAGTCGGCAATACTTAGGAGAAAAGCAGAGTGGCCACAGGGGCCACATGGCAGAAGCTGGTGCTATTGAAGTGTGTGGGCAGGGGAAAAGCGGTAGATGCGGATCCACAGGAAGCCAGGGCCGATAGTTCTGCTGTTAGGAAACAGCTTGGCTAAGCACAGGAGTGCCTCAGACTAGCTGAGATCAGTTATCCAACCTCAGGATTCACGTTTTGACCACTACCAGCTACTTCTAAATTACTACATCTTTCTCAGAAGGGCAGCTGTGGAACAACTGGTCTCCTGGAAGTTTTTCCAAGTTACTTTAGAAGTCAAAGTCTCAGGCTATGCTACATATCCTGATGTTGTAGTATGGACATTCTCCTCATCCATTTCGATTTCTGAAATTTGGGAGCCTTCTACTGATGAAAAGGAAACACAGAGTTCAGAAGATAAAGGATTCTGGGGGGAGAGGGAGGATAACCCCAGGGGTAAATGTACATTCTACAAAAGATCTCATGGATGCAATCTGTGTGTGTAATGTATGGAAAAAGTTTGTTTAATTGTTTTATCCTGCCTTCATACCCCCAAAAAAGGAAAGGAAAAATTGTCTTTTCCTCTTTTAAAATGTTATCAGCAACACACCCCACTTACACAACTTGCAAGTAGAACAAATTAAAATAAATCTGCTCATTACAAAGCAGGGACACAAATTTCCATGCACACTTAAGTATCCCAAAAATTGCCGCTGAAAGCTGGGAGCTATGCTCCTCTGGGACAGCAATTATTAAGCACAGGATTGGGCAGAACACTTTGGTCCTTGCCTCCAGAAGCATGTTGCAAAGCTACCACACAACTTGCTCAAGCACCAGAGAGCATGAAACTTGTTCCTAGTTCTTAGCCAGTAGCACTGATGCCCAGAATACACAAAGCACCTTTGAAGTAAGTTTGCCTCCCTCACTGATGAAAGCATTCAATAAAGCATTTCAATTGCACAGTACCTGTTTTTCTGGGTCATTCCTGCTAACACACACATTCGTATGCATAGTTTAGAAATCTTTAATTTGGAGCACACGTAAATTTGTATAACTAGCATAAAATTGTATAATTTTACACAACAGCTGTAAAATCGGTTGCTGATGTCTTTCACTTTCTGCCCTGCTGGTTACAGCTGTCAGGCAGGCACTTAAATGAGCATAATGGAACAGGGGCGCAGTGAAGTTGCAAAATCTCCTTCCTTAAGAGACACTCAAAGCTGGGCTGGTCAAGGTCCTGAGCTACCTGCTCTAACTGGACATGGTTTGAGCAGGAGGATAGACCAGATGGTCTCCTGAGGTCTCTTCCAACCTACCTTATCCTATGATTATGTGATAAACAAATTTCTCCTGTCAGACACCAAGCAAGCAACCCCCAGAATTTCTCTTGCTAATAGGTACAACTCCTTCCTTCATATACCTGCACTTAAACAGCTCCCAGATGAACTAATGGCCAACTTTATCAGCCATGTTTGACAACATAACAAATTGACCAAACAATCTGTCACTATGGCATGCAGCAGTAGCAGATCCACTACCAGGAGATTGGGTTTCATTTTGCCCTAGACTTGACCGTGGGTGGGTGCTTGCTGCTACATGTGTGTATTGACCTTTGGAGCAGTCTTCACTTCTGCCAAGCACTTAGGGGAACAAAGCTGGGATCTAGAGTATAAACAACTGAGTATTACAGTAATTCAAACAAAATGGAGAAAACCCCCAAATAAATAAAAGATGCATGCAATATAATGAAAGCCAAAGCAAGTTCTGCTGATCACAGAACTTACATAGAAACTATCTCAAAGACAAACCTGGTTCAAAATTTCCATCTATAAATACAACCAATCCCACCTGTCGTTCTTCCTCAAGACGTATTCTCTCCTCTTCTTTCCGCCTTTCCTCCTCTCTTTTTGACTCAAGTTTTTTCCGTTCTTCTCGTTCTGCTTCTTCAGCCTAAAAAAAATTGTGCGAGCCCAGCTTTACTCTTCCTGAATACACATTTTTAAATTTCATATTGTGATAACATTGGGGGTGTGTGTCTTACTATCTTCCTAGATGCATGTTCAGAAAGAAACAGTAAAGAGACTAAAACCAAAAAGTCATTATCATTTAACTCCCCCTCCCCTGATCTTCAGCACACTTAACATCATGGTAAATTTAGAAATCACCCTTCTCACTTGCATTATCTGTATCTCAATAAGGGTTTAAACTTTGTATGTGCATATGAGCTTATTACTGTAGTGATGTTAGGTAATATTGTGTCATGGCATTCCATTTCTCCTCAATGGACTCTAAGGAGAGAAAAAAAAGGAAAGGAGAATATAAACTCTGCAAAACTAAGTACATTCAAATTTGTCATTAACCTGGGCAGAATCTCTTAAAGAAAAAGTTGTACTGGCCCCTTCAAATCATTTTATTGTTTGTTTTTAAACCAAACCTAGCAAAGAGATTGTTGCAAAATGGGGAAAAAAGGGCATTTACTGTATTGTTTAGAGATTTATTTTAAGTTGGTCTTCAGTCTCAGTATACTTAAATTTGAAAATACATTAGAAGAACAAGCAGAAGACATTCAAATGGAGGATTTGTGGCTTTGAACGTTTCAGAGAAAAAGACCTAACCGAGGAATTTATCTGTCTACATGGGAAAATAAAAATCAGCATGTTTTAAAATGAAACAGAAGATTCCTCACTCCACCAACTGATGCTTATCTAACTTCATTCAACTTTGCTCAATTTTTCCACAAAAAAAAAAGAGGCTAATTAAATAGAATGAATATGGAAAGTAATGACAAAATGGTTAAAGCATAGAGTGAGAAAAGGATTGTAATGGAAGTTTATATATAATATAATAACCAAGTTTATTACCAACCACCCTATCTACAGCACATATCACCATAGTGTAAAGCAGAAACTGCATTTAAACCTCGGATGACTCTAAAATTCTCAAGATGGGATTTCACTGGCTTTGTTTGGACACTCTACACATTAGAAATGTCCGTAGTTTCATAAGCCCCGTCTTTTTGTAAAATGTGTGAAGTCCACCGTGCACTCCAGCCTCTGTTATGCAAAGGCTGTTTAAGTTTTATCTACTTCTTGCAACCTCATGCTTCCAGTTACAGAACAATACAGAGTTTGCAAAAAATATACAGAACAATTAAAAGGAATTAATGTATAACCTGCTGCCATCCAGGAGCACAGTTCAGAAAGTAAGTTTCAAAAGCCTGTTGTTTCCCTGGAGTTAACAGCAAAATGCTGGGCAGAACTGAAAAAATGCAACAGTATTTAAGTAAGTACTTTTACACATAGATGTAAGAAAGAATAACTGAAAAGCTACAGTGCGTTCACTCTGTATACTTGGTCTTGGTTTAAGGGCCAAACTTCAACCAAAATCTAACTGCATCGTAGATTTCAGTGGACTACAGGGCCTGCTTTTTATTTCCCCCAACCCCTAAAAACAATAAACATGGCTAAACATAGATAAACCCATTCAAAGTTTTTGCACTATGAGAGCACATGCAACACTACTCACAACTGCCCACAGTTTTGGTCACAGACCCGGCGTTACGACAATGCTACGTGGGCTTGATTGTATTTTTAAGGGGAGACAGTACTGACATTAAGCTGCAAGCCAGTGGAAACATCCAAGAAAAAGCATTCAAGAGTTTAACTCCTTTCTGCTCCCCATGAGAACGCCAGAGAATCTAATGGAAAGAAAATGAGACACCATTTTCCATGGCCATTTTGGGGTACGACACAAAAAGTTGGATTTACATTTTAAAAATGCATACCTTTAAAAAATACACAACCGTTGTAGTGATGATACTGCCTTTGCCTTTCTGGGGTGTCTGTCATCACCAGTTCTTTGCTGAGTACTGCTATTCAGCCTCTGCTCTGGTCTCTCTACGTGGCAGGAAATGCTTACCTCTCTCTGTGCTTTTCTGGCTTGTTTCTCTTCTAATTTCCTCTGCTTCTTTGCTCCAATTTTCCCAGACACCTGAAATTCTGGCACCTCCTCAGCATCATCTTCCTCTGCAACATTGCATAAATGGCAAATTTTAAATTGTCTGTAAAAAGTCCCTTTGAGAAACTTCACTGCTTCCTAGGAAAGCAGCAGCAGATGAAAAGGAGACACACATACATTTCAGACAAGACCTATTAGATGGAAAAAGGAAAAAAAAAAAACAAAAAACCACCACACGAGACTGCCAAAGCCACAGAGTAGAAGTAACAAGGCAAGCACACTCAAGTGAAGCCAGAGGTAAAAAATTTACTTGATCTATTGAAGGAAGGCTTTTCATAAACATTTCCTGCTTTCCACAAAAGACATACTTTTTCTTATACATAAAATGTGCCAATAGTTGTCATTATGTAACTGGGAAGAAAGTCTCTGCAGGTTAGTGTTAAGCAGTTACCTTTAAGCTTAGCACAACAGAAATCCATTCAAAAAGTGGGATTCAAAGGCATGCCACTCATCCACTGGTTCTAGCCTGATATAACTAACCTTTAAAGGAGGAAGAAAAAAAATAAAAATCCCTGCAATGCAAATCTTGGGTCTGACTGCAACAAAACTACATGTAAATAGTTCCCTGTTGTACAACAATTGGTAGTTTGCAAGGATGATTTCTGCAGCTGTGAAATACGAAAGCGTCATGCTCAGATGACGTGCAAACACATTATATTTCTGCTCACCCAGGGGCTAAGTAAGACTAAAGAACTTTTAAAGACTGCCATTTCTTCCCTGCTTCCCCCAGACCAATGTCTCATGAATATCTTGGCCACTTTATTTGCTAATCTAAATTAGTCCTCGGTCCTACAACACAAGTACTGTGGATTGACCTCAACACTCAAAGAAATCATTAGCTCACTTCATGAAACACTACACAAAAGCGATTCATGTGTCTGAATCAGATATCAGAATCAAAAAGAAACATCCCTTTTTTGGGTAAAGTAATTTACACTGAGCATCCACAGTGCTGTTATGCTTGATGCTGACTTCAGATCCACCCACTTGAAGTCTGAAGAATGGCACAGCCAGCTCCTGTGATTTTCCTGACATGCAGTGTTTATTTAGGGAGGGAGAAGGGGAGAAGTGTGCAGGGGAAGTTCTTCCTCAGTTATGTTTTGGCCCTCATCATTGGGGGGTAAAAAAACCCCAACACTTTCCCACTCACACAACTGCTGAGCCTTTGGTTTCTAAGGCAGGGTTAACAAGAAGAATAAGACCATTATGTTTGATAACCGATTGCATGAGAGCCTGCAGCAGTTGTACCTGGAGCTGACTGTACTGTGGCAATCACCAGAACCGGTTTAGCAGGGCTGGCAGCATGACGTTTTCTGTAGGAAGCTCTCACCAGAGACCCTGGTTCCCCTTTTTGAGAACCCAAGAAAGCTGCTGTTATAGGAGCATATGGATGAATGAGACTCACCCTTCTTTTATATGTAGAATTAGATTTGAAACACTCTTGTTTTACTAATTCCAATACACAGCATGGTACTATGGTTAAGCCACCAAGACACATCATCAGAAACAAATGTAATTGAGAGCTGTGTAGGTGGCTCTCAAATAACTTAGCTGTTTTCAGGATATGGAAGTTAATATGAAGCAGGCTTGCTGAATTGGGCTTCAGAGAATTAGTGGTATCTGATTACTGAGATGATCAAAAGGGGTTCCCCCTTCCTACACCACAAACAAAGAGAGCAACAGGGGACACAGACTTGACACAGTTGCTTCTACAATTTTGCTGAAGCTTAAAATAACTTTATTTTTTTAAATACCAGGCCAAGGGGAGTTCCAAACACAATGGGTGAACAACCCAACATTAGCAGTTATTACTCCAAAACTAAAAGTTCAATACTGGTATTTTTCTTTAGAAAATTATTTCTGGAAAATATCACAAGTATAAAACACCATCTATGACACTATTCAACCTGAGGCACTGAGTGCTTCTCAGATTTCTACTATATTAAGAGTACCTGAGCCAGAAGTCAGGCAGAAGTCTAGAAAGGCTTTTAAAGCCTTTTTCCAGTCCTGGATCAAACACGCCTTTGTTCAGTAGCATTTGCTTTCCTCCCGTTTGAAGCATCTGATGTGATGATCCCTTAAGTACCACTTCCTCCAAGCTTTTTCTAGTGTACAGAGTTATATCCGACAAAAGACAGACAGTGATGCAGACGCAGCCCATGATTCAGCAGAGCATTAAAGGTCAACAGTGCACTAAACCTGTGTGCAATTAGTATGTGCTAAATAAACCTGAACATGCTGACAAGAATATAAGACCACGGTACAAAGATTTGCTGAATCAATTGGTTATTATAGCAGAATAGCTGCACTATTTTTTTTTTTTTAACGCATAAAGCAGCTATCATTTCAGCAGCTTTTAACAATCACTTTTCACATACTCTTAATTGTCAACACTAGTAGACCTGACAGGGGGTCAGTCCACGGGAATGTACACTCCATCTGCCCCTGTGCTTCAGATGTGATGCAAGACAATCAGTTAATTGTGCTCACTTGTTGTGAAAGCAGTTTATTATCACCCACATGACTAAGGTTGGCCAGCCTGCATGCATACTCAGTTGGGAAGCCTAACAACATCAGACATCATCGTATAGTTGAAGCTGAAAATGTGTTTTTGTTTGAAGGCTGACCTTCTGTGGTGCTCTCTCTGTACAATTTATCTGATGTCTTAAAACGTGGCAGTTCTGGGATGTACGTAGAGTTGTGGCAGGAAAGGGAGGCAAGTTCAGTGCTCCAAACTTGACACAAGCAGTTTTTCAGTAGTGATTTTCCCTAACTGCTTACAGTACCACAGGACATGGAAGTCCTGTTCCCACTTCACAATATGGCACTTATAAAGAACACCAAGCCTCAAGGCACACAGGACCCTCTTCACTTGAACTGCTTGGATCTTACATAATGGGACAGCTTCAACTACAGTCACAATCCTACCATCATGTTCTGGTCCACCTTTACAGAGTCCAACATAGCTACACCAACATTTCCAGAACTTGCAAAACATTCCCACCAGCTTCCAGCTCTAGAAGACAGAAAGCAGAAATAGTCTGACTTACAGTGATGCTTTCACACCACTTTACACATTCTGCTTTACACAAACAGGGGGTTTGCTCAGCTAGACAGCTGAGACGTAGCTTCAGGAAACCTTAGCTTTTCCTTAATGTTTTGAACATGCTGAAAGCCAGGACAACAGGAAACAGTTAACAGTCACACAGAGTTGAGTCTCTTGAAATTTATGGAGTACTTTTTAAAAATACTTCCCAATACCATTAGAAAGTGTGCTGGAATGCTGATGTTCTCTATCAGGACAGGAATTTACCAGCTACTGTGTACAGAATATGCAAAAACTCCAAATGAAACAACCCACATCTCATATTTTAGTTGCCCTTGTCATCTATGTGAAAGGGACTGTCTTGCCTCCTATTAAGTTTTGGAAGTGAAGCAAATGGATTTCCATCCATGAAAAATGATGCAAGCTGCACACGTGGCTCTCACAAGAAGTCCTCTGGGCACGGCTAGCTGCTTTATTTACTATTTATGCAGCACCTAACAAAAGGAGTAAGAGATAGGGGGGTAAGATGCCAGGCAGAACAAACAGTTCATCCTGAGGGGGGAAGACATATGCGTGTTATTAACGTTGAATAGATGTATGACACCAGCCACTGAAAAGGAATGGGTCCACCACATGGAAAGGTCTGGGCGTTCATGAGAAACAAAGCCCTGCAGTGGTACAGTTGTAACAATTTTTAATTTCATTTTATTTTTTAAATTTGGTAGGTATTCAGTTTAGGAACCAAACAAGACATTGGCTTATTAATTTGAAGCCACAAGATCAGCTTACACTTAGAACAGAAAAAGGACAGCAAACAAAGGATATTAGCCCTTTTCAGCAGAAGTCAAACGACGAAGTTTTTTCTCGAGTAAATCCATATGGCATAACTCAGAAACCACACACCTACCTCTTCTACACACAATCTGTGCTTGAAATGTCTCAAGGGCAGACAAACATTGTGGATACTCTGATAACACTAAAGTCACTTTCTATATAAATAGTAGCAAGTCAAAATTAGCTTTTGATTCACTAGTTAGGATATTAGTAGTCAAAGTTTAACTTTACTAGAAAGGTTTTCCTACTGATTAAGCATTAAAATTACTTCAACTATTCCATCAATTAATATAGCTCTATTACCAGTTGTTTAACAAGAACAGCATGGGACCACATCAGTGTTTCTAAGTTTACACATTTTCCAGATCTTTCGGCACATAAGAGTATAGGGACATACAAGGTTACATGCAGGGTAGAGAATCTGCTCAGAAAAAGTGCTTCTTATTTTGAGAAATTTCAGCACCAACACATTCTTCTCTAAGTTAGGTACAGTAACCATTACTGAATGGGGATTAAAAAATTATAACTATTTTTTATATTATTCTTCCTCAAAACTAGCAGAAAACACTCATGCAAGATTTTTGTAGATGCAAGATTTAAATGCTGGACTTAGACACTACACAAAGCAATAACGGGCATGTTAAAATGCCCAATTATTGGATTTTTTTTAAACGTCTAAAAACTTTGTTTTGTGCTTTCTTCCTCAACAGTGATTAACACTTATGAAGAAAAACATAAGATCTCCAAGTCTTGCCAAGCAAAAGAGGAGAGGAACTTCTGATTTAATTTATGTTGGAATCATTAACTTTTTATTATTGTGTTTTATTTTACCAGCTAGAGCACTCAGACTGTCAAAAGCTGTTGGCTTTATTGTTACTGATTCTGTGGCAGTTAAGTAAATTTAACCCAGCGTTCACTGTACTGGACATTCCTACACCTGTGCTCAGATGTACAATGCTAAAAGCTCAGAGAAAAGGCATGCAAATGTTGGGATAGTTAACCTTTTGGAGTTATATGCTGCTACCAAATGTACAAAGCCTATAGTTTGTACCAGTTTGGAATAAAGGTCATTGACAAAATCAGATTATTTCTTTGATGCAGTGTTTACTCTGTTTGTTAAAAAAAAAACCAAACCAACAAAGTCCCATTTTTTGGCAACACTTTTTACAATGAGTCAGAGAGGTCAATTTTTTTGTAGGATGTGGACGTGAGCATCTTTCAAAATTAAACCCTTGAAAATATTCCCTGGAAATGTACTGGGCTGCTTAGACTCTCCTGGCACGTCCTTCTTTTTGCCTTCTTTCTTTCTCTGTCTAGCTCAGATCACCCACAACATCAACCAAAGCCTTCCACCCGGAGGATTGCCCAGTGGTCTGTCTTTCGCTTGGTGGTTTGGAGATTGCTATCATTTCTTAGAGAAGTCTGTTTCTTTGTAACTACCCTAAATCATGGTGTGGTGACACCCACCAGTTTCAGCCAACAAAAATGCCACCCCCTCAAATCAACAGCAGCAAGTTTTGGTCTAAGACACCGCTCTAAGTGACAGAAAATATGGACCTCAAAACCTGTGTCCTACTCACCGACTGACAGAACAACTCTGGAAAAGGCACTCTGCCTGCGCGTGCCCCTGTCTCTGCAAACTCTTTATATTGTGTGCTGAGGCAGGCAGGTTTTCTCACTACATGTTTGTACAAAGTTACTTTCGGACGTAATGTATAACGGTTCTTCAAGCAAACAGACATTTGCGTCTGATCATCCTCGTTATTTTTACCACAGCGGTATCAAGACGACCCAACCATACTTGCCGTTGTAAGTTCACCCTCTCAACTTTCTTGCCACTTGATAGGAAGTTACAGTACTAAAACTTCTATGCAAACATCAGATTGGCCGGGTCTCTTTCTGCTCCAAGAAGAAAAAAAAAAATGTAGTCTCAAGAGAAGTATCTACTTCACTGCAGAGGTTTTTGCAGTGTTCAAGGCACAATGAGCAGATTTGGCAGGGCAAGCTCAACTCGAAAATTGGGCAACTGCTTTCTCCGCACATGATCAGCAACCAAATAAAAGCTCTTGACAAAACATCTTTACATGTACCCAGAGGTGATCCAAGTCCAAGTGCATGCACTCACAGCATCAGTCAGGCAAAAACAAGAGCCAAAGATACCCTTCCTCAGTCAGTAAATAAATGGGATCTGAAATTGGAAAACAGCTATTGCTATTTATTCACACTACCCCATACCCAAACAACCCACAACCCAACTCCAGTTTATCCCCTTTCTTCTGCTTCTTTCCACTGCTTAGCTTGGCCTCTCCTGCCCTAAATGATTAATGCTTGAAATCCACACACATTAATGCTTTGCAGTGAGTTTATTTTCATCTTGGCTGTAGCTAGCCACACAAAGTCACTTCCGTCTGGGTTCAATTTAAATTAAGATACAGAGCTAATTAAGTCTGCTAGCTGGGATATCAGAAGCAACCCAACCACATGAATACAGAACTCTTTCAGACTCATTTTCCACAGGGAAAGGCATAGGCACCCTGCTACAATGCCCAGAGCAGATGTCCTCTGAGGCACGCAGACTTTAACAACAGTTGCCTAGATTGCACTGCGCTGCATGAACCACAGTAGTGTTATGACTAGAAATACGTTGGGCAATATAAGCCAACCAAACCCATTTTTCTAAGCCAGCCTGGAAGTCACGCTGGTGGAACACAGCTCAGGGGTCTCAGTCATTTTGAGAATTACTTTGTCACCAACGAAAAATATCTCCCCAGCAATCTTTGGTCATCAGAGGATATTAATAGATGCTGATATTCTCATAACAGATGACCTCCTTTGAGTACTCAACTAACCACTGAAAAACATTAGTCAGGCAAACCCAGCCAGCGTAGGCACCTGGCTAGCGGGTCTGCCCCCACAGTACAGCACAGCCCACATGGAACCCGTGAATAAGGAACCCACGTACGTGGCGCGGGTTGCAGTTCTGGTAGGAAAGTCAAGGCCTTTAGTGCTTTCACCCTTTATTTTCTGTCTGTGCCAACCTGCAAGTACTTTAGGTGTCTTAACCCACCCAACTGAGTTAAAGGAAGAATTATAATCTGGTTTAGCTCCACTGACAATGGGTGGAGATTTGAGTATTCAAAACAATTATTTACTATCCTTGCCTGTATTAAATGTCTCCTTATCCAGATTTGTCAGAAAATATGATTAAGATTTCAACAACAGAACGGACAACTAAAAGTTATCAAGGTTCTGATCCTAGTGACACAATTTGTTTTGGGTGTCGTGTCCACCCTCCCCCCATTATTCTGCAAGAGATTTGAGTACTGGGCACAATACAACAGCTTAGCACAGGCAGCAGAAACTGTGGGCTACTATTTCATCCTTGAAGCTTTCTTTCTCATTCTGGAATGGAAATCTGATTGTTAGGTGGAAAACAGAAAACCCTCATGCTAACCACAGCTCCAAAGCCTGCAACTGTTGCTTTGAGACCATTTCCTAGAGACAGCAAAACTAACTCTCGACAGGCAGAATACTTTGGTGGTAACAGCAGTTCCTACCTGACTCCACTTCTACATCTGTAAGGGTAACATAGATACAGCCAGGGCATCCTAATGCCTTTCCCGAGTTCAGAGCTAGACATCTTGCAGCAATGGGTTGGTGTTATGCCTGCACCGACCTATGGCAGAAGTCAGAGTGACACAGCAGGATCAGGTAGCTTTGCCCAAAGCTAAACACAGGCCCAGAGTGGAAATTCCACACAGAACAGAAACTTACTAGTAAAGCATTTTAGCAAATTTAACAATATTTTAACAACGAAAAAAAAATCCTCTTCAGTTGCAGATGTTCAGAAGCCAGTTCTAAAGCAACGAGAACATTTACAAGTCAAGACTGAAGAAACCAGACTGGCTTGTTTTCAGTGTATCTGTCTACAGTGCCAAATAACTTTGCTCTTCAGCCCTGGGTGCCCCAACTGGTCCTGCATGCAGTGATATACAGTTGCAGGCAATGCATTCTGAGCTCCTTTCCATGCAAGTCAACTAATTTTTATAACACAAAACTCTGCTGTGGGGATAACTTGCTTTTTCAAAAGTAGGCAGTAATTCGACAAAACTGCTCTATATTGCAATGACACAGCGATAAAAGCACATGGCCCCACAGAAAAGAGACAAATCCAAGAAGAGATGCCAAGCCTATGCCACATGCCCACAAAGTAAGCTTCAAAACATGTAACACATCCTTCTCTAAGAGGAAAAAAAACCCACCCAAACCCCACACTAATATATGTAGCTCAGGGCCAGGTTAAAGGCTTTGTAGCACAGACTCAGCCAGTCCATGACAGAGGGAGGCTAATCCCAATACAGCCACTAGTCATTCCACACCTCAACACTGGGGAACCAGGGACAGATGCTTCTCTCCGCAGCTATATGACTGAAGTCAATGCTCAAGCTCCAAAGGCTTTGGTGTTACTGTTGTGCAGCAGTGCTTAGGCACTTGGAAAGTCTATCCCAGAATATGAATAAAAACACACAAAGAAGCACAAAACAGAAGCAAAGAGCAAGAAGTTGATTTAATTTGAAAAAGAAATTTAAAAACCCCAAGTAAGACAGGGATGTAATTTCAAAGAAGACTTCATGCAAGAGCCACAGCACTTGCATCTGATATACAGTAAGCTGCAAAAGAATTATTTATAAAGCCCAATGACACAGATTCTTCTATTGCTAAAGTGACAAAGTAAGATAAGCCATTTGCTTTGACAGGTTCACTGTTGGCTTCGGCATTCAAACTTTTGATGTCTGGACTTTAAAGATTTTTAGATTCCATTTTCTTTCCAGGATGTTATCACATGAAAAGAAATAACCACAGTTGAAAAGTTCAGATGTGTCAATTTTGCATTTGTGAAACTGTTGAACATAATTAGCTTAAATAGCACGTTTACCTGCCAGTGTGAGAGCAAGATGCTTTCTACAAACTGCAAGACAAAAGCTGAAGAAAGTGCAACTAGCCCCTAAGCAAGGCATCACACAGATACGTGCTGTTTCTCACCCCAGACCAAAACGACACCCTGCTCTTCACTGCAAAGTTAAGTGAAGCAAAGCCCACTTTTATCAATACTTCAGCAGAAACCCTGAACGCTTAAGCTACAATCTGAAAGTAGAAGGAATCCAGTTAGATGAATCATAGTGAAATAATCCTTTCAGTAATAAAGATAACAATGTGTGAAGTTTCACCAGCAAAGGGAGTGAGGCTTGCAGGGTGTACAAAGATGTTATATATCACCATATTCTTGCCTACAACCACACCACAGAAGTATAGCTATTAACTGTAGATCCAGCACAGGAACAGAGGACTCATTCTCAACACCCTACTGGCAGTAAGACAAAGTGCTGCAGTCTGTGGTGATCTCCAGCTAATCGGCTTGATTCTGATCACCACCTGGGTGGCTCCTCGGAAAGAAAACTCCAGATTTTGGAGATATTACTTTAGGAATTAATGCTTCCCACTGACTTTCAAGAAACCAATGCTTTACTACAGCTCATTATTCTAGTGCAAGGTGAAGATTCTGTTTACCCAAATTTAACCTGCACAGCTAAGTGGAAAATACAAAAGGCAGTTTCTAGGAAGAAAGGGAAAAATGTTGTGATGCACTGTTGGCACAACAAACTGCCTCAATTCACCACAGAAGGAGCTTGACACTTCAGTTAAAGGTAAGTGATACCTAGAGATAAGCGATGAAGTACAGAGAGAAGGTGGACAGTCAAATAGATTATAGTCAAACTGTAAATAATTCACAGTCATCAAAACTGAGAAGCTTTCTTCATGAGCCAATCACATCCCTTCATCAGCCTTAAATTCTGCTCATAAGGTCCACTTCAGTGTTTGCATGATGAAGTGAATCAATCGTTACCTTCCACCCAGTCTTCCGCCTGCTGTGCTCTCCTCTGGGCCATCATCCGGTTTCCCATGTTCCTCCGGCGCCTTGGCATGCCATCTCCCCGCTCTTCAGCATGGGGCCGAGGCCTGGCCACTGCTGCTGCTACATTTTGCTGGTGTTCCTCATCAGCTGCAAAAGGGAAATAATAACTGATGAGAGATTTGCCATCTCTGCTTGCTGCAGTTGTTGTTTTGCTAGTCAACTTTTGCAATCATAAGTGCAATACCAGTGCTGTTTTCCAAATGAGTGAATGCCTCCCCACTCTCGTGTGTTTTTTTCCCTGCACGGCAGCAGATGTGTGCAAGTTGCCATCCCATGATTAAGCGGGATCATGTACTGGAACCTTCTTATTTGCGCAGAGTGCTCTTTTTATCCTGACAGCAGTCTTTTTTGCAACAGCACATAGATCATCATAAAGAACAAGCTATAGCTACGTGCTGCTAATGTTATTTGATCTGACAGAGCCCCTCCACCCCCAAACAACAAAAAATAACTACACCACAAAACAAAGAGCCCTCCCCTAAAGTGCTCAAAAAATGTTCTTGTTTAATCTAATGATAACCTGTTTTTCCCTTCTGCCAGAAAAGAATTCCCTTTATCTGGAAGGACTACCAATCTAATAATTTCTGAGTTACCAGAAGGCAAGGACCCAGAAGTACTTTTTTTCCCTTCTGATTCTGATTTTTGAAATATTTTTTTATTTTTATTTTGTACTTGTTTAACTTAGAAATAAATTCATCCAAATTCAAACCTCAGAGCATGCATGTATCAGAATGGAATATATGAATTGTTATACCTGAAACAAAACCTGAATAGCAAATAAGGATTACAAACTACAGCCATAATACATACAGGGTAACTTCATTCTACCACGCTGATTTAAACTGCAGGTTTCCCAAGAAACTTGCGTAGGGGAAGACAGAACACCAGACATCACTGCAGCTCTCCCTGCCATCCTCTCTGCATATGCTGCAGTTACTAGTTAAGATCTGACAAACGGGGAATATCGTAATACAGGAACAGACGTGAGACAGCATGGGAGCAAGGAACTCCCCCAGGTTTTCCTTTGGACCTCCATGCTCCTGTTGCTATCATCTATGTCAGTCAAGCTGACACAATCAGATAATGGTAAAATATCATCAGATAATGGTAAAATATCATCATCCTTAATACCTGCTTTGCATATTCAGTTGATAAATGTAACTGATATTTTTAAATGTTGTTACTTGCTCAGTCCTGCAAAGCATTAAACACTATGTCTTAATTCAGGTAAATTTTCAAATGGTCTCATGGAATGCTGCAGAACTATTCATTTACTTAAACCCAGGACACGTTTTTTTTTGTGCTTTACTGAATTACATGGTGTCCCAGCAGGAGCACAAAATGCTTTCCACAGTCTGCCAAGCCTCCAGGATCCTCTAATCCAAACAATGCCTTCCTAAAAAAACCCTACTATTAGCATATCTATGATCAGAAAATAGATTCATTATGACTACATCTACATGATGATCAAAGGTGTGCTTGCAGCTCATCTCAGTACACCTCAACTAGATTCAAAGCAGCTAACTTTGGTACTGATAACAACATAGCTGCAGCAGCACTGAGCTCAGTGCAGGCTGCAACGCAGAGTAATCTGGGGAAGTATTTGGTCAGTAAAGCCATTAGCAGTTCAGGATTGCTGCAACAATGATGTTAGCGGTCCCCCAGCAAACTCCAGCACTAATATGCACCATGACATTTTGAATTAAGTCACTGCGCTATCACACTGCTGTCACCCTCTTGTTCTCATCCACTCCTTTTATCTGTGGACCAAAACAGGTCTATAATAAATTACAGGCTGTAGACTCCAGGGATACGATCATTTTGCTTCGAGGCTTGCTCAGTCTTATTTATAGCATAATAATGTTTATTTTGAACGCTACAGAACATGCTATAGGAAAGCATTATACTGCAAAGGCAGAGCAGCAGATCACTTCTTGGAACACTAAAATGCCAGAAATACTCAGTCTGCAAAAAGACTTTCTATACAAATGCAGTATTTCTCTTAAGTTCTCGAGATACACTGCAATTCAAACCTTAGCACCCCTTTCACCTGAAAGCTTCAGTCTGTCTATCTCAGTAATTTTCAAACGTGGTCCTGCACAGCCTATCAGCCATGCAGTTCTTGCACTCATTCATTCTGGGCCTTGGTTTTGGTCCCTGTTGTCCTGCGAAACAAAGACTGTTTCACATTTTGTGAAAGAGGAATCTATTTATAAGCCACGTATTCATTTCAAACTGAGGTGCTTAACCCTCACACAAACATATGAATCAAGCTATCCTGTTGTCTCAGTTTAATTCTCTATGGGACACACGGTAATTCTTAAAGTTGACCAGAGTTAACAGCGCTCAAAGTAGTAAAAACCCCACAAACTCGACCCATATCGTGGTCAAGCACACAAGGCAGTTGTTGGACAATACTTTGGACAGATCTCCGAAACATTGAGACACACAACTGAAGACACCTAGACACTATGGACTGTCGTTTAGTGAAAAGATATGCTTTAATACAGCTTTTTCCTTCCCATGGTCCCCTATACCTTCTGTTTGCAAGGCTGTAACACACTTATACCTGGTTGGTTCTTCAGAGGTCAACGATTTGTCTACATGGCTCAAGACACATCATTTATTCCAGTATCCAGAAAGTCAGATGTGCTCTCTCTCCCTCTGAATGGGAAGTATCATAGACTGACTAGAGCTGCGCACAGAAGGTAGTGACTGGTGGTTTCCAAGAATAGAAGAAACACTTAAAAACCCTCTTACTCTTGGAACTGGACTGCCTGTCAGATTTGAGGTCAATAATAACCTTCTCTGGGGTCTGGCCCCGTGTTTTTCATCTCTTCCCGCAGCACAGGGCGTGGTTTGGGCACTGCACTTATCTGAATACATCTCTTCATTTTCCTGTAGTTGCAGACATCTCAGACATAAGTGGCACCCCAGGCTAGTGAGTTCATGCAGAGATTAGTCACAAAAGGACTAATTAGACTTGATATAGAAACATCTGAGTGAAACTTAATGGCCAACATTATACAGGCAAGAAGAGTGATACATGAGCTGCTCGATGATTTGCAGAATGGCAGGCCAGAATAAATTAATTAGATAAAGCCCTCAAATTAACAGGTAATACAGAAAAAAAAAAATTAAACAGACGTCTGGAAAATGGACACAGGTTTAATTTGTATTTTAAACTTTAATGTCTGCCAGTTTCTGACTCAGCCTTTCAAAAAACAAGTAATATCTCTTTTCTGGAGACAGCAGGTTTACTGCTGTGCTGAGAGAGCAGCTCCGCCTCTGCATTTTCAGAAACATCAGCATAGTACAGAGGCAGCAATGGAGATTATTTCATCTGACTTGTCAGTCAGCACACAGCAGCAACTGTGAAACTCCAGTTGTACTGTCAGAGCTCCTTCCACAAGAGAAACAGAGCAGAACTCTGCTCTAAAAACAGAACTCTTTCCTAAACTGCATGTGAAGCACCACTGTTGTTGTATGAAACACAAAGAATATGACGAAATCTTTCAGAGCCCAGACTTCTTAGGATGTAATTTTACATCCCTCAGGCAGAAATCTGCTCCTTTACAAAGCTTTGCAAATTTCCACTTGCTCAGAGCAAAGGCATTTTTTTCTTGCAAGGCAATCCTTTGCCTATCACAGCACATTATCATCAATTATATCAGATAAGCAAGTCCATCAGGGTAACACCTGGGCTGGCAAGTTTTGAGGCAGTCCAGCAAGAGACAGCTACTAGTTCGTAAGCTCCCTCATTCTGCACCGATGCGGCGAGAGCTCCACCTACTGCACCTTCACACCTTAGTGGTACTTCCCATCACACTGACAGCATCCAGCATCTTTTACCTTCATGCTAACCTAACCTGTGAAATTCAATGAGAAAGTGATTCAAAATGCAACAGGTGGAAGTATGCTTGGCTTCCCTGAGGAGTTGCTTTTGCCCAGCATGGCTTATCACATTAGGGCTTGTTCACAAACAGATATGCCAACCACGTATAAAAGCCAGCAATGCTATGTTTTTTTTTTTTTTTCCTGTTCTCAGCAGAACAAGTCCAGGCATGGTCTTGCTGAAACCATGGTGCTCCTCAAAATGACTTTTAGGAGAAAAAAAAAAGTAACAGGATTTAC